TCGGAGAGAGTGACACTTTCCTGCTGGCCTTGAAGAAGTCAGCTGCCATGTTTGGAGAGGGCGGCCTGTAGGTACTGGGAGAGGCCCCCAGCAGACAGCCAGCAAGAAAACAGGAACCTCAGTCTTACACCTGGAAGGAACTGAATTCTGCCAACAACCACGTAAGCTTGGACGAGGACCCTGAGCTTCAGAAAGGAATGCAACCTGGCCGACCCTTGACTACAGCCTGAGGAGATCCTGAGCAGAGGACCCAGCTAAGCTGTATCTGGACTCTTGACCATAGAAACTGTGGGATAATAAACAAGTGTTGCTCTAAACTGCTAAGTCTTCAGTGATTTGTTACACAGCAATAGATAATTAGTACATAAGGTACGATATCCCAGCCCTGAGGACTCCACACCATGGAGAGTTGGGAAGGTTGGCTGAGCTCCACCTTCCTTTCCCAACCTTGTCGGGGGCTTCACAGGCCATGGTTCCCAGGATTCTCATTGCCATGTGGCGCTTTTTAGCATTGGGGTCCCGGGCTCTTTCTGCCAAGATTGAAAACACACTCTTCGAAGGCTCCCGCTTCTGAGACCTCAGTTTCCAAGACACCTGGGTGGTGGGTCAAAAATGTATTAATTTGGGGGTGTTCAGAGTCATACCCAGCCCCAACCTCAGTCCCTCCCTCTAAAGAAAATCCTGTGATCACCTGCTCAGGTTTACCCCTTCTCTCTCCAACTGAAGATGCCTGATTTTTGTTGGAAATGAGTTTGATCTATATCATGAAGAAATCATGGAGAAAGAGAAAAGAGGGGAAAGAAACTAATTCAGGGCTGGTGTTGAGGTAGTTTGGGGGAGTCATGGGAGGAGATGTTCTACACCAGTTATGGGTGTGTTACACTTTATAACTGTCAGAGTGAGCTGAGAATATGGATTCTTTCACAGTGAAAGGTATGCTGTTATTCCTCCCATCCTGGAAAAAAAGAATTCCCTTGACCCTTCTTCCTCCTCCAGCTCCTTCCCATTCTTCTGCTCTGCTTTGTAGCTAAACATGCTGAAAGACACATCTACACTTGTTTTCTCCAATTCCTTTCCTGCCATTCTCTCTTGAACCCTCTGCAGTCAGGGTGATGTCCTCCCATCCCCACTGCGTCATATGGCTAATTTCAAGGGTCAGATCTCAGTAGTCTTCTTACTCAACCTCCCCATAACATTTGACACAATTAGCAAAACACATCTGCAAACATCTAGTGCACATCTGCACATGTTTTAGGGCACTTGAAGGTGATCTCAACCCCAGAATGGCATGCATCTGAGCAATTAAAATTAGGAAGAGAAATGCATAAGTAATACAAATTGGGAAACACTGTGTGTCTGATGTAGAAACCTGTACTTCAAGGACTAAACTACGTAATGGCTGGGTAACAGCTGGGCTGCCTCTGTAGTGAGCACATGAGCTCTGATGCCCAGAAGGCCCTGGTGTTCTACAAGACACAGGACAGGCAACACCTGCTAGATCAGAACCAAGATGATGAAAGAGCCTGACAAGATCAAAGACAAAAGCCACCTCCCCAGCATCTTTAGTAAGGGGTAGAGGGAGATTGGATCCAGATCCACTGTCTCCGCTGTGCTATCAATGAGTTTTGGTAATTCCCAAGCCTCATTATTATTTCTGAATATTTATCATAGTTCATTCCATATTTTTATTATTGAGTAAGCAGCAAGTTAAATTCTTCTCAACTGATCTTGTCATCCTATAAACGTTCTACCCATGTTAAAAGTCTGTCACCAAATATTGTTCAGAAGAGGAACCTCGCTGGAGCAGGTCTAACTAACCACAGACGAGGCAGGCGCGCGTCTTACAGAACGGCCATGGGGAAGGGACGTTCATCCATAACATTTTGTGTCAAACCTTGAAAAAGAAAGATATCATCGATGTCCTTTTCTTCTTGGGCTGGGATGTAGGGACGGAAACGGGATGGCCCAGGATTCTCCTCTGTGTTTGATCCATGGAACTAAAAACACAAAATCATCCAATGAACCACAAACACTCTTCCAAAGCCTCATCACGGACAAACACTGTTATATAGAGACTGTGCGGGCGAGAATACAAAGAGGCAGAGCTCCCCAGGCCTGACTTGAGGAACCGTTCACCATGGTGAGGAGATGAACAGTCACATAAGAAGACAAAGAGCTGGCTGGCTGCTTGGCTCAGTTGGTTGCTGATAAGACCCAGGTCCAAGGTTCAATCCCTGTACTGATCAGCTGCCAATAAAAAAAAAAAATTAAATAGCAATTCAAGGCAGCCCAAGAGGAACAGTAGCTTAGGGATCAAGGGGTTCCTCATTCCATTTTGCAGACTTCTTGTCTCATAATCACCAAAAAAAAAAAAAAAAAAAAAAACAGATTCCTGGGTCCCACCCACAGAGTTCTCCTGAGAAGTAAAGAATAGCCACAAACTGTGTTTTATAAAGCTCCACAAGAATGTAAGTTGGTACTACTTTTTAGAGGGGATTTTGGTACTATCTCTTACCACTTTAAAATGCACATACTCTTTTAATCAGCAATTTTTAAATCCCTCAGACATTAGCACATCAACATTCAAAACTCTACTTAAATTGGTTAGAGCACAGCCTTGTAACACAAGGTCATGGGTTCAGATCCTGGTATTGGCCAGCTGCAAAAAAATAGCATTCATTGTAATGGGTAACATAATATCCTTTCATGGTTGTAATGTAAATAAATTACATACATATTACAACTCTACAATGATAGATGACTACTTTGCAGTCATTAAAAAGAACATTGGGCAGATCTACATATGCTGAAATAATCTCCAAAATATACTGTTGAGCAGAAAGTGCACACATCAACCTGTGCAGTACACGTGTATATACATACGTGCTTGTGTACGCACAGAACAGGGAAGAGCACCCAAGAAACATTGAGAAAGATCGCCTCTGGGGAAGAAATGTGAGGAACTGAAGTGGAAGGGAGACTTACTTTTTTTTTTTTTTTTTTTTTTTTTTTTTTTTTTTCCTGTTTGCCGCTGTTGTCCGCCCCCCCCAGGCCCCCCCCCCC